CACATCTGTCTATAGAGGAAGAATCCACAAATGAAAAATAGATGTCTGCATGCAAAGACCGCTGCCTCTCACAAGCCAGAGGATCAATACAAAATACCAATTTAAACTGTAGTCTGAAGGTCGTAAGACAGAAGCATACAGAGGCGCAACGGAAAAGTGGACATTAGTGCTCCAAACAACGGGCTCAAAACAAACTAAAAGTGCAAAAACACCAAGAAAACACAGTCATTAAAGCCTTATCTTGCGTAGCTCATATATTAAGTTGATTTAATGCATAGCTCACAGCCAAAGCTTGTTTGCTATGTTGGGTTTACAGGAAATACGGATGAACCTCAGATGGTATCACAATGTGTTTTTAGAGGGAGAAGAAAAGCCAGAATAAGTCCAGCTGTACAAGGTGATCTGGGAGAGTGAGAGGCATGACAGGGAGAAATAGTTTGAGCCAGTGTCAGAATGTGCATTTGTGTACATGACTGGTGCTGTGCATATTTTCAGATAAGGTAAACATGATGTGCCATTTTTTCCTCTTAATTCCAGCTCCTCCCTTTCCTCCAGGAAGGGGGTGGGTGGGGGCGTCTGATATGGGGGGACGGTGGTTGTGCTCTGGCCAAGGTTAAGCTAGCCTGTGTGGGCAGAGGGTGACGCTTTGGAGTGGTAGCTCTGTTGGGCATGGCGCCAATGTTCCTCCTCTGCTCCCATCTGCAGATAAAGCTATCAACCCTGGCCTACTGTGGGCCTCGGCTGCCCTCAGCTTCTTACTGCCTACTGTTCTGTGGGACTGACTCTGCCTACAGGGGGGAGGCACACTGTGTAGATGCAGAGTGGGAAAGGAGTTCAAAATAAAGGTTAAATATGTGGAGGAATTTTTGTTTTGATGAGGGAAGTGGATTTCAGCAAGTTGGTAATAGCACTGTCAGGGTCAGCGGTTAAATTCCCAGCGGGGCGCACTATCCTCCGCTAGCATACACTTATAGGCTCTGTCGTAAAATGACCCTCAAATGGCAGATGAACTACAATTATGTCATACTGTACATGTCACCACAGAGCAGACAAGATTTTGTTTCCCACCTTCTATCAAACCAAATGCTATTTAAAAACAAGACTAAGCAGAAAAGCCCAGAGAGAAACAAGCAGTAATCTCCAAGAACTGTTTTCATTTCAACCCAAAGCCACATCTAGCTGCAGGATGTGAAAAACAACTAATCTCAGAGAAGCATGGAACTCTACCATTAAATCAGAATGGCAGCCACATACTCAGACATTTAAAATGTATCCTAAATAAAGTGTTTCATCAAGCCACTTCAGTGCAAAACAATGGTTAAATTCATTAGAAATTGGGAATTATAAATGTAGCCCCTGCTCTGTAGAATGGCTGAATCTTGATGTCCTTACTTTTTAGCAGCCATTTCTAACAGGGTTAAACATAATGACAGCCTCCACAAGAATCTTTTCTTCTTTGCAACAACTGAGTGGGGAGTCAGAGATGGAATTGAGGACATGACTTGTAGAGGAGGAACTCAAGGAACAGTGGGAGAAACATAAAGGAACAATAGAAGGAAGGGCAGTGCCGGTGACAACACCCATAGACACACAGACAAACACTCCGTAACCAGGACTGGGAGACCAGAAGTCCGCAGAGTATCTCCTGTCGTTCTCTACATGCCCACATTAATTAGATAGTTTTACCATGATTGAAGGTTGTGAAAGGAAAACCTCATAATGTTGATCACTATGCAAAAGCAGATAAAAGGGAAATCTAGAAATCGATTTTGGGTGTTCATTCACAAATACAATAGATTTTGCATTTCATTATCACAAGGGAAAAGATAATTTCAGTTCATTTGTAGTGCATTAAGACAGAGCCAGAAACAGTGCTGCCATATACATAATTTCTCCTGCACACAGGAGAAATGTATCCTACTCATGTATCTGATGAGCTCTCTAGTAGTTTTAACCCTCATCCTCCACTTTGTCTTTCATCACCCAAGGCAGAGTGCTGTGCTGAGAAACATCCCCACAATCCCCTAACCCTTCAACCTCTGCCTGCCTTCAACCATGACCGGCTGTCTGACTGAAATAACATTATGACACACTGAGTGCTGCGCAACACATTTAATAGTCTCATTGTGCTGGCAAGGCTGCACATAACAAGTGTGCATGAGATGAATGAAGAGCACGGAATGACCGCACACCTCCTAAGTCTTATAAAAAACGGGCATATACAGACCCTGAAATATATATTTGGATTTAATAGCTCAATATACAAACAAACAAAGGAGAAGGACAGTGTAGCATGGGACCCAAGCAAACAAGGGTTTGCTCATATCAAAAGGCTGCTGAGTAGTTTTCTGCTCCAGGCCTGTTCACTGGATGATGGCAGGCACTGCTGTGTGTTTACCCATGGCCCAATTATTTGCTAATCTCCCCTGTTCCCCCCACCCCTCCTCACCCAATTGGCCTTCAGTGTACCCTCCCACCCTCCTGGACTATCCCCTCCCCCTCAGCCTCGCCACTAAAAAACAACAGCAATCTAATCTGGCTCTCTCCTTCCTTCTGTCAAGGCCCACGGGAGCGATGCAAGATGGTGCAGCCTGAGACTTGATTAAAAGTCACCCAGTGTTACTGATGTGTTGGCTGTTTTCTGCCCGCAACTGGTTCCGAGATCACATCCAAGATTAGGGAGACAGGGGCAGGAAGGGGAGGTGGGAAGCAGAGGAGCCTTTCTTGACTAAAGACTGAAATGTGCTTGATGCACCCATGCGTGCACCATCCGCAGCCACTCGAAAATCTGTCATACTCCTGCTGTCTTGTATCTCATTTGTACAGTGCTGATCACAGTATCACAAATATTTCACTGCCCTTTTTCTCTCTGGGTGTCGTTTACTTTTGCCAATGTGCACACCCTGTCAACCAGCCTCCGTGCATCCACAGACAAAGATGTTCAAAAAGCAAAGAGGCACTATGTATGTATGCCCACGTGCACAGTGTTTTCATTATCAGAAGCATATACTGGCCCTACTCATCTCATATCTGCTGCTGCTGTTTGGGTGCATGCTTGTTGCTGAGGTAGGATGGATGGGATTCTGGTATTTGCTGACACCCCTAATTTTCCAAGTCTCCTAGTTGAATTTAAAGATGGGGGGGATGTGGACTTTAATCTGTCCCATCTGTTGCCCTAGGACTGCCCCCCAAAACATCACCACTCAGTCTGTATCTGTCTGGGTCTGGTACATTTATGCTAATCCTAGGGTTTATACTCTCCTCAGTGCTTAGAGACCTCTATTATTGACCACAATGCATTTATTCCTATTCTGATAATCATTTAAGTCATTTTTAAAATCAAAAATATCAAACTTTTCCAGGTTGCATTCTTAGTGTGGAGCCGATACTCCACAGAGAGACTCGTTGTCTCTGTTGGTCAAGGAGAACACTTCATGTTAATCACAGGCTGTCACGCTGAGTTACCATCTCAAGGCTGCACCTTTTGTTTTCTAAAGCATCCACTAATTCCTTCTTTTTGCCACAACAGAAGCCCAACTGAATGCTCTCCTACTGTAGCTTGCTTTGCTTTTACCTCTGGCCAGAACTCAAACTAAGGCACTAAGAGAGACAGACATTGATTTTTTTTCCCCATCTAATAGAGCACAGAACTAGATGTATTAGAGACCAAATGGCCCCCACCATTTCCAGCATTCAGTGGTCTGGTTCAAGCTGCAGTCAGTGTCATCTCTTCTCGAGAAATAATGATGTGAACTGAGTGCAAAATATTGTGGAATCAAAGGAGTGCAATGTTTTCATATCCTTCCTTATATACCTGTCTAAATTGCATTGCTCCAGTTGTGCAATGCTGGCCAACTGCTGGCTCAGAGGAAGCAGGCATTAGCTTATTACCTTTCCTTTTTTCTTTTTGCTTCTTCTACTTCCTAGTTGCCTCAGTTTTACAACTGCTTTGAGCATTTTATGTGCTACTTTTACCCATTTACTATCCTTGCGTTTACCTAGTGAGGTAAACCTGCAACCTGCATCACTTCTAAAAAGACCATAATGCACATTCAGCTATTTTTATTTTCACACTTCACATAACTTACTCTCCTCTTAATCGATGTTAATTTTTTAGTTGCAGCACATAAAACATGAAGCACATTTCTATGCACTGTTACAGCCATTCCTTTCTTTGTTTTCAACATGACTGGTGGAATTTTCTCGTCATCAATGCAAACTCCTCATGCTCAAACTACACTTGCCATTTAAGTAATTCTGATTCATCCTCATCTCGGTCTTCTCCAGCCAACCTTGCCATTAAAAACTGACAAGGCTGACAGCAGTCTGCACCTGGCTCACCAAATTCTGCAGGCACCCAGAGCTAGCATACATGTCAAACAGACTCGCAGCTTCTAAGAAGAGTCTCATCTCAAACCGGCAACTTTAGTTTTTGTTGATGTGGCCGCAGAGCCGACAGGCTGGAGAGTCCCCCGTGGCCCAGGGTGGGTAGTGAGAGGTGGCCCAGTTAGGGAACATTGGGCCTGTCAGCTCCACAGTATGCAGCTCATGAGACACAGCTTCAGCGTTTGGACAAGCGCAGCAAATGAGCATTACTTTTTACACTATAGTATACTACTTCTGTTCTAATCCTCTTTGGTCTCCCAAACCTCCAGCTTACCTGGGACAACAGTAAAAACAAGGCCTGAATGCAGCTTGTGGCATACCTTTGGAGCATGAAAATGCTACAAGTTAGGACTTCACATGCCAGACTTTCGGATAAAGACAAGCTCCAGTCTAATGGCACTACTTAAGAACACCTGTGGTCACACCGCAGGTAATGTCTGCAGGCTTGTGCCATGTTTGGAACTGTTTCTACTCCAGATTTTGGAGCCGCAGGACTACACCCACACACTGATTAGTCAGAGAAGCATTAGGGGACAGAGCGGAAGGATGACCCAAGCTCAGCTGCAAACGGGTTAAACACATGGTGGCTGGAAGAAAATGAAATATAATTTTGGAAAAGAAATTAACGTAATAGGCGAGTCAGGGAAAGGGGATGCTGAGAGGCAATAATATTACTGGACCCGAGAGAGAGGGAGCAAAGGGAAAGGATCCAGGTCAAAGAGATGACTAACATGCTCCCGCAGACTAATAAACCCATCTGTTTCCTCTCATCTTCATCATTACAAGTATCATCTTAAAAAATAAGCACTGCTATATCTCTGCTTTGCATTCATGAAACAGTCTCCTGACTCTTTATAGTCATTATGCCAACCAACTCTGACTGCTGCCCTAATTCCACACAGTGCAACAATTTGGATTTATTGGCTGTTTACATGGCATGCAAACATATAAGCACCTATTAATAGTCATTGTACTCATTACTGAGTGAATATATCAATCCTTAATGCCAGTCACTGCCACAATTAAACTAGGGAATACTAATTTGCACAACATGTCTCATAAAGGGGAGCTTATCAAGGCAGTAATATTTTGTGATGAGAAACCTTTTAGCATGCATTCCAGAATGATAAATCACAGCTTTACATTCTGCTGATTATTACATTTTCACTGATCTCTTCAGGAAAAACTTCACTTAGAGTAGATTTTCTTCTCTATTTATTTATGTCTGACTTCACGTTTAGAGGAAATTAGAAACACTGTTTGGGCACTGCAATGTTAATAGTTATGGCTCCTTAGGGCTGGCACTTTTTATTCAAATTTCAAACATTCATTCAAATGTTGTAAAAAAAAAAACATTTAGAACTGTAATGACCTGTTTGAAACCAATGATGTCTGGGCTATGTCATCTTAGCAAATTTCATGCCAGTTTGAACATTGTTTGCATGATTTTTTTGGAAAAAGTGACAGCCCTACAGCTCTTTGGAACAGCAGTTATTATTCTCAGCTTCTGATAATACCCTGTCTATGGATGGATGGAGGAGCCACAACAATAACACACTTACAGAAATGATAATATATTATTAACAAGCTGTTTATACACACATTCACACCCACGTACCGGATGAGCAAACCAGGCTACACTGCCAAGGCCTAAGCACCATGTTCCATCACCTAAATCTTGGAAAATACCTTTTCTGTCTTCTCACACATTCTGTCTTCTTTCCCCTGTGTGCACTGTTCCTCCACCTCTGTGCAGGCCTGCTACTATCTTATCACGCTCAAGGTCTCACAGAAGCCTGGCTTCTGCCCAAAGTCTTGAACAGGGGGCACAACTTGGCAGACAAGGACTGCGGTATGTTTGGCCCTATTTTTCTAGACCTCTGTAAACAAAATGATTTAAAGGAGCCAGGAGTGCATTTGCTGCTCTTTTCAAGAGGAGTTATCTATGAAGGTTCGCTTAACTACCAGATGCGCTTCACAGAAACGAGCTAGGGACAAAACAGGATCTAAAGAATGGATTGATAAACATACAAGGAATATGGTCTGTATTAACATTACAAAACAGTTATGCAAGCAAATGGACAAACAGACAGCAAACCAACCAACATTGGAACTGCCTCGGGCCATAAAGGCAATTTGGGTTTAGGCTTATACTATTCACGCCACATCTGCACCAAATCTGATAATGTGGACAAAATGGAGACAACAGAAACCAAAAGGAAAGCATTATATATTTATGAGAAGTACATTGCATGCTTTAAAATCAATTCTCTACAAAGCCACTCACCAGCCACAGAAGTCAGGAGAATAATCAGGCAAAACCCAAATTTGGCGAGTGATTTCATTATGATTCGGCCCACAGCCATGACAGTGTACATCGACTTTTTCTTGTGGTTGGCGCTCCTGTACGTCTCGTTTTTACTTCTTCTGGTCCCCTTCTTTTTTTTGCTACCACCACCTTGTTTTCACCCCCCTTTTCTCACGTCAGCTCAATTACTCGAACTGTTCTCTCAAGCATGGAACAACACATTGAGAATTGATGGGAATAAAAAAATGAGGCGCTGTTGTGTTGGGGTCGGTTGACGTGATGGGATACCTAACGTTAACTGCCAAGCAAAGTGAAGTTAGTCCTATTGTCGACTCCAGCAGAGTCCGTACAGATAAACCAAACAGCTAACTTATTTGGCGGAGGTGCCATTTACAACTAACCAACAAACAACGTCCATATCTGCTAGCTAACATGCTAGCTGGTTAGCACGACTGTCTGGTGCTACAAAACTTCGGACAGAAAGTAAATATTACAAAAATAACCGACCCGCAACTAATTCATCTATTTACAGACTATCACTTGTACGTTTTCAAAAAACGCCCATTCTTAAGACACAACAGCCACTTTGGTATATAAACCTTTAGCCAATTAGCTGGGGTAGATTGTAAGATGACTGCTATAGAAGCTAACAGACGTTAGCCTAATAGCTAGCCAGTTTGTTTTCTGCGTCCCGTCTCATTTCACGATCTTCGTTGTGGGGACAAAAATAATTCACAAGTCGTCTGCAACTATGGTGAGTTATTCTGGTTTGCGATCGACGGAGATCATGGCTCCAGTGCCCGCAGACGATGGAGGAGATAGATGTAACTTGATCGGATCTTCCCCGCGGAAGTCAGCAGCGTTTGGCATTGACGATTTGGAGCTCCGCTGGGGGGAGGGGAGGGGGGGCAGGCGGACAGACGGGGCGGCTGGGAACGCCTCGTTTGCAGGCTTGTCTGGACCACTCGTCTCCGGTATCTATAGATACAACACACTGTAAACATACGATGCATTCAGGCTATTGATGTAAACCCCGAATTTCTTATTTACTGCAAACGCTGCGTTTACTCAAAGATTATAATGGGCTATGGCTGCCGAGAGTTAGCAGTAAGTTATAACTGAAACGTTTCTATAACAGATAGTCAACAAAAGCTTAGTTACAAAGCTGCAAAATAAAAAGAGGTTCAATTTGAACATGGATTACAAAATAAAGAAGACACATCCTGAAGCCTATCCTGAATGTAAAAGGCCTGGATTTTAATGAAAACACACAGAAAAATGTTCCACAAATGTATGATTTTTTGTGGAATATCAACAGAAATTAATTATTTGTATAATAGTAGCCCAGTATTGTATATGTATTATTATTATTGTTTTTAATATTAGTAGTAGTAAGCTAGTAGCAGCAGCAGTAACAGCAGTAACCTTAAAGTTTTAGGGTTTACTGATAATTGGTGTAAAATGTATTTTCCGATTACTACTAAAGGCATCAGTAGTCATTCAGCTCTTAGCATTACTTTGCTGCCTCTGTGGCCAAATAACTTTACACTAAGTTTAACGAGAGCACAGACTGTATGGTTAAAGCAGAAATTATTCCAGTAGGTGGCAATGTTGGTATGTGCTTATGGCAAAACGCTGCGGTTTGTAGTTATATAACCCCAAAATACTTTATAAGTTTTCATGAAACGATTAAGGTGTTCATTTCTACTTAGATCGGACTTTGGTAGCCTATTTTTTTTTACCACCATCGGTTATAGAAACATGATCCAGAAATGGAAGATTTCATAAATAGGCACTATAAAGCCATCGTTTATTGTCTCACAGTCACAGCTTAGAAATAATGTGGTAATATTATATACAGTAGCATGTATTCCTCCCTGTTATTTCTCCTCAAATATGAGAGCAGTACTACTTATTCTCTGTTATATTCTTATATTTTTTTTATTATACTGCTGCATTTGTTGCTGCTTAAAGTGCCTTAGATTTTGTGTTACTTATTTATCTACTTTATATTTCATTTGTATTTTGTGGCATTCATGTGGACGGCAAAGTAAGAATTTCACAGTGCAGGGAAACACGTTTCCTAACTGTGCATATGACAAATAAACACTTTGAAGTTCAAATTTGAACTTGAACTTATTGTATTGATAAAGGGGGCGTGACAGTTTCGCAAGGGTCCTCCGCCGACGGGACAGCGCATAGCAGCTTTTGGATGTTGCTCTCCGGTTGCTGCTGACCCGGAAAGTCATCGTCGGCATCGAACACTACTATATCTACTATGGCCCATGCAGCTAATATAAAGTTTAAGAGAAGTGTAATGGCAAGATAAAGCAGCGTCCGTGTGCATTTATGCATCTCACCATGGAGCGCAGAATTTCAGCCTTCGCGGCGCTGCTTGGGACGGACATTATATTCTAGTCTTCTAAATACCTGGTTGTCTGATGAATGGTGGGCTAAACTATGGCTTCTGCTCCAGCCGAGGCGAGGAAGTTTACCCAGGGGCTCAACAAACCGGGTACCGCCGCAGAGTTGAGGCAAAGCGTCTCCGAGGCTGTCAGGACGTCAGTGTTGATGGTAATGGAAAGAACTCAGCTGATATGCACTCATATGAGAAAACTGAATGCAGTCAATCTTATACTATATATTATATAATATTATTTAGAATCTTTCCTTCTTTTCATAGGGAGGTTAGATACAGAACAGCAGCTAGAGTTGGAACAAAACAATGCTTTGCTCAAGGGCAGTGCTTGCTGAGGATAGGGGTTTTGAACCATGGCCTTTTTAAAACATCCAACAGTAATTATCTATTCGAAAAAAAATTGGTATTTCTGTAGTTATGCTGTAACTTGCTAGTGCATATTCCCTGTTGTCTGACACTGTATGGTGTCTTGTTACAACTTTCTCAAAGGGGTTGCCAGGTAACTGAAATATACACAGCCATCTCTGAAGGCCACACATGTGGTTTACAAACACACACCCACACACACACATACATACACATACAAATACATGCACACTTCTGTAGTGTAGTCTGTCATCGATCCCTTCAAGTGCTACCAGATAGGTTGGAAATAAACAGGTGATTCATTGCAAAGTTGTTCGCTCATAAGTCACTTCTTGAATTTAGATTTTGTTTTATTGTCTCTGCAGACTGTATTATTTGTGGTCAGTTTACCTTCTGTAGTATCCTCGTCCTTAGAGACAGGTCCACAGCACTGACTTGACTAAGCCTGTGACTGGGTCTTGTTGCCTAATGGTGATCAGTGTGCAATTTTTCTGCAGCTAATGGCTTCAGCTTCAATTATCGCTGTTAATTACCTCTCTCCACATCCCAGTGTGCCACTTCAACTCTAAATACATTCAGCCAATCAAGGACATTCATGCTTGTCTTCAGGATTTTTCTAAACTTCATACTTTTGAAATATTTAGCTTTATTTTGAAGGTTTTGCCCCATTCAAATGAATGGGAAAATTCTACATAATACTTTCAGCTATTTCAGGTATCAAAATGTTGAGCTCCTCAAGGACATTCATGCTTCTATGCAGAATTTTTCTAAACTTTAGACTTTTGAAATATTTAGCTTTATTTTGACAGTTTTTCCCCATTCAAATGAATGGGAAAATCTACATCATACTTTCAGGGGTATTTCAGGTATCAAAATATTCAGCTCCTAAAGGACCTTAATGCTTCTGTTCAAAATGTTTCTAAACTTCATAATTTTTAGACTATTTAGTTTTATTCTGAAAAATCTTGCCCCATTCAAATGAATGTGAAAATTCATACTTCAGCAAACTTTCAGCTATCAAAATGTTCAGCTTTTCAATGACATTTATGCTTCTATTCAGAATTTTTCAAAACTTCATACATTTTAAATATTCAGCTTTATTTTGAAAATCATGCCCCATTCAAATGAATGGGAAAATTCTACTTCAGCAAACTTTCAGCTATTTCAGCTATCAAAATGTTCAGCTCTTCAAGGACATTCATGCTTCTCTTCAGGATTTTTATAAACTTCATACTTTTGAAATATTTAGCTTTATTTTGAAAATTTTGCCCCATTCAAGTGAATGGGAAAATTCTACTTCTGCATACTTTCAGCTATTTCAGCTATCAAAATATTCAGCTCTTCAAGGACATTCATACTACTATTCAGAACTTTT